TTTTTTTTTTTGGTCATTCTTCCTGTGTGTTTATATGGTGTACTTTTTGTCCACTTGGTTTTACTTTTTTGATGGTTTTTCAATTGTTGTTTTTGTCTAACTGAGTGGGAGACAGCAACAGTGCCCATACGACAAAACTACACCCTCACCTTCTGTAGCTCCATTTACTGACTGAGAGCCACCACTTCCTTCTCCACGACCTGGCCAACAACAAATGACCACCAAGAAGAGCCTGACTCACTCTCAGCTGCTCTTCACAAACAGTAAACAGAGATCTAAATACAACAATATCACAATGCCTCAAGACAAAAGACCATCACAGTCCACACAAAGAAGCAAGATAAAGTGATAGAAACAAGGGAGAAGGATGCAGACCCAGAACACATCCTTGAGGCAGAAGCAGCATTGGAAGTCGTTGATAAGGAATTCAAAAGAATTATATTTAGGCATCTTCAAAGGATTGAGAGACAGATCAAGGAAAACAATGATAAAATTAAGGAAAACATAGACAAAACCCTAGAAAAATTTCAGAAGAAAATACAAGAACAAAATGACAAAATAAATGAAAAATTAGAAATGATACAAAATCTACAGATAGAAATCCAGAATACTATGCTAAATTTTCAAAAAAAGATAAAACATTGAAAGGGCAAAGGAGTAGAATCAAATCAATTGAAGACAGAATTAATGAGATTTAAGACAAACACTGGAATACTTCTTTGGAAAGGGGTCGATCAGAAAAAAAAAGATCAAAACAAAATGAAGAAAGCCTAAGGTTCATGTGGGATACCATCAAAAGGAATAACCTATGTGTAATCATAATTCCAGAACAGGAAGAGAAAAAGAAAACCACTGAGAAAATTGTCCAAGGTTCATTAGAAGAGAACTTCCCTGATATGGTGAAAGATGAGAATATATTCATTCAGGAAGTCCAATGAACTCGAAACAAGCCCCAAAAGAAAATCACCAAGACATACCATCATCAACTCATAAAACCAAAGACAAAGAAAGAATCCTGAAAGCAGCATGGGAGAAACAAAAAGTTACTTACAAGGGACAACAAATAAGAATAAAGTCTGATTTCTCAGCAGAAACCATGCAGGCAAGAAGGCAATGGGATGGTATATATAAACCTTGAAAGAGAAAAAATTCCAACCAAGAATTATATATCTGGCAAAATTGTCCCTCAAATATGATGGTGAAATTAGGAGATTTCCAGATAAGCAGAAATTAAGAGAAGTTATTAAAACCAGACCAGCTTTATAAGAGATAGTAAAGGGACTCCTTTGAACAGAGAACCAACAATAACAAACAACAACTGATCATTAATACACAAGATGACATAACCCAGAAATCAATACTGCTGTGGAAGTATCCAAAGTAAAACCCGCTTACAAAATTGTCAGGGAACCAGAGACATCAATTGGTAAATGAGGACAACTACAAACCAAAAAGAGGGAAAAAATAGTGTAATTACAGAACTTCTAAATGGTGAGGAAGTCAAGAGAGCTGAAAGATAGAATGGACTGTTCTAAACTTGGAGAGAAAATTATAAATCACTTGTTAACCTCAAAGAATAATGATAAACCTTCACATCACAGTAAAAAAGAGGACAAGCACAAATACTTAGCAAATACTAAAACAACAACAACAAAGGAAATGATAACATGATTCATAAACACAATGAGCTCAGCACAAAAAATTATATGAAACAAAGAAACCAAGAACACCATGAAAAAAAACATAACAAAATGACAGCAACCAATTCACACTTGTCAATAATTACACTAAATGTTAATGGATTAAATGAACTACTCAAAAGACGAAGAGTTGCAGAGTGGATAAAAAAACATAACCCATCAATATGCTGTTCACAAGAGACACACCTTAGAGACAAAGACAAAAGACTAAATATCAAAGGTTGGAAAAAGATATATCAGGCAAATGGAAACCAAAAAGAGTGGGAGTGGCAATATTAATTTCTGATAAAATTGACTTTAAGACAAAAATTACAATATGATACAAGGAAAGACATTATATAATGCACTGTAAAATGATACAACCACTGTGGAAAGCTGTACGGTGATTCCTTAAAGAGTTCGAATTAGAAATACCATTTGACCCAGCCATTCCATTACTAAGTATATATCCTCAAGAAGTGAGAGCCGGGACAAGAACAGATATACAGACACCCATGTTCAATGCAGCACTGTTTTCAATAGACAAAAGATGGAAACAACCTAGGTGCCCATCAATAAAAGAATGGATAACTGAACTATGGTACATACACACAATGGAATACTATACAACCCTAAAGAACAATGTAGAATCTGCAAAACAGCACATAACATGGATGAACTTGGAGGACATTATGCTGAGTGAATTAAGTCAGTCACAGAAGGACAAATATTTTATTAGTCCATTATTGTAAAAAGTCAAGGAATGGTTTAATATGGAAGGAAATTTTCTTTGTTGGTTACCGGGGATAGAAGGGGAAGGGAGGGAACACTGTTAGAATAGGTAGAGACAAGTATTGATCTGGGTGAAGAGAAGGGCAATGTACAGAATGTGAGTGATCAACATGGTGTCACTGAGGAAGAAGAAGACATAGAGGGGTACATGAGAGGTACAGACAACAAAATTGAACCCTTTTGCACATACAAAATGAATGAAGGTATACATGGATATACAAGTGGATAGATGGGAGAACAGGCTGAACTATTAGGTGTGTCTATGCAGGGGATAATGTGCCCAAGACCATGGGCAGGGTTGGCAGACAATGTATCTACAAGTGTATTTCTATGTTCTGTAAGAATCTCCAAGTTTATAGTAGAGCAGACAAGGGGCAGGTTGTAGTCACTTCTTGGCCACAGCCAGCTACCCAGAAGGAGTGAGTAGTTGGACCTGTGGGCTCGGGACCATAGTCACAGGGGACATCAAGCCCATTTGGCATAACATACTACACAAAACATTGTTCCATATCCTCCTCTGGCAAGTACCGACTGGGATCTTAAAAGCTTACAAGCAACTATCTAGATGCAACAATGGGTCTCTCCTCGTCCAGAGCAAAGAAGAATGAAGATAACCAAAGATGCACGGAAATAATTAATCCAAGAGACTGGTACACCATGTGATCCTCAGCCTATGAGACTATGAGACCAGAGGAAACAGATGGTGCCCACTGTCAACCACTTGGAAGGGGATCTACATAGGAGATCCTGGATAGTGTGGGAGAACAATGTGGAACAAAACTCAAAATCATTAAAAATAAAGGGGGTGGGGGGACCAGGTTTTCTGGTTTGATAGAGTCTGATGGAACCACTGAGACTATGGCCCCTTGCTACCCTTCAGGTCTAGAATTGAATTCATTCCTGTGGCTTCCAGCCAAACAAAAGACAGGTATATTAGCTGAATATTTATGTTAGGTAGATATACTCCTTGGAGAGAACAGTCATAGGAGAATAGAAGGGCTGTGGACGCACAGGGAGACAGCTCAGGGAGCAGGAGTGCATGGGAGGGAAGGACACAGGGAAGAGAAAACTATGGGGAGGAAGTGGGAAGGGAGCTGTTGCATTGTGGGAAATTGCAGTTAATGTCATGAGACAAAATGTATGGGAGCTGCTGTATGGAGAGTGAATTTGCTCTGTAAATTTTCACCCAAATGACAATAAAAAAAGAAAATGGAGAACTAGTTTGCAGCAAAAGACATAAGTTAGTATAATTTACTAAAACCACGTAAAATGGCTAAGAAAAAAATGTAGATCTTGTAATCACATACAGAGAAAATACTCCAAATTAGTTTCATTATAAGTATCCTCAGAACAAGTTAAAATGATTCTAAAAGAAATACTTTACTAACCTGTTTATAAGGAGTATCATTCAGGTAAATTTCAGTGTCCCCAACTGAAATCAAAACACTTTTAGAACAAACAATATCGTTGTCAAAGCATTTTTTGTTCTGGGCAATGACAGATATATCCAAGTCATCTGTACTCTGCAATATCAAAAATATTTTATTACTACAAATATCTGCAATATACATATATAATTTTACTTATTTTAAAATATCTTAAGGATTAAGATATATAATGGATTGCATTAATATTGAAATATTACTTATCTTTAAAATAAAAATGTTTATAACTAATAATGTGAAGAATTTTTTAGAAATATACCAGCATAGCTAAATCTTTAAACACTTACCTAAAATATCTTCAAATAAAATTTTGTTCTAACAAAACATTTTTCCATTGCATTAATATAGCTTTAATTTATCAACCATTAACATATTTTTCTCTCTGTAAATATCCAAGGGAGCTCTGGTAGTGTAGTGCTTAAGGCATTTGACTGCTAACCAGAAGACTGGCGGTTCAAACACACCAGCCTCTCCTAGGAAGGAAGGTTGGGCAATCTACTTTGGTAGTGATACTGCCTTGGAAATGCAAGGAGGGATCACTATAAGTAAACATCTAAGAGGACAATCTGTCTCTTATGAGAATTTTTAAATAAATATTTCCATCTAGACATCATGTTCTTTATTTATTTTAAGGAATTTTCTGGCTAAATAGTTTTTTACTTACAGATTAAATTCAAGTATATACAAAGCTTTGGTATTTGTTCATAAATAGAATAACACATATCCTTTGAGGGCTTGCTTTGAACTGTTGTTGTTCTTTGGTGCCAACAAGTCATCTCCTACTCATAGTGACACTACGGACAGCAGAATGAAACACTGCCCAGTCCTGTGCCAGCCTCATGATCTTTGCTATACCTGAGTCCATTGTTGGAGCCTGCATCTGTCCATCTCGTTGAGGGCCTTCCCTTTCCTTGCTGACCCTCCACTTTACCAAGCATGATATCCTTCTCCAGGGAATGGTTCCTCTTGACAACATGACCAAAGTAGGTGAAATGAAGTCTGGCCATTCTTGCTTCCAAGGAGCATTATGGCTGCACTTCTTCCAGTAGAGGTCTGCTAGTCCTGTTAGCAGCCCATGGTACTCTTAGCTTTCTACTCCAACACCACAACTCAAAAGTATCAACTCTTCTTCAGTCTTCCTTATTCATTGTCCAGCTCTCACATGCTGAAGAGATGATTGAAAATACCATGGCTTGGGTTGGGCATACCTTAGTCTTCAAGGAGCCATCTTTGCTCTTCAGCACTTGAAAGAGGTATTTTGCAGCAGATTTGCCTAATACAATGTGTCACCTGATGTTGTGACTGCTGCTTCCATTGGTGTTGATTGTAGAAACAAGTAATATGAAGTCTTTGACAATGTCAATCTTTTCTCCATCCACTGTGAAGCTGTTTATTGGAGAAGCTGTTTATTGTGAGAAATTTTGTTTTCTTTATATTGAGGTGTAATCCATACGCAGACTATAGTCTTTAATCTTCATCAAGAAGTGCTCCAAGTCATCCTCACTTTCAGCAAGTAAAATTGTGTCATCTACATATCTCAGGTTGTTAAGGAGTCTTCCTCCAATCCTGATGCCATGTTCTTCTTCATATAATCCAGCTTCTCCGATTATTTGTTCAGCATAAAAATTGAATAAGTATGGTAAAAGGATGCAACCTTGACACACTCCATTCTTGATTTGGAACCAGAAGTATCCCCTTGTCCTCTTCGAATGACAGCTTCCTAATTGATGTACACGTTCCTCATGAGTACAATTAAGCATTCTGGAATTCCCATTCTTCTCAATGTTAGCCATAATTTGTTATGATTCACACAATTGAATGCTTTTGCATAGTCAATAAAACACAAGTAAACATCATTCTGGTATTCTTTACTTTCAGCTAAGATATATCTGACATCAGCAATGATATCCCTCATTCCATGTCCTCTTCTGAATACAGCTTGCATTGCTGGAAGTTCTCTGTCAATATACTGCTGCAACTGTTTTTGAATTATCTTCAGTAAGATTTTACTTGCATGTGATACTAATGATATTGTTCAATAATTTCCACATTCTTTGGGAAACTTTCTTTGAAATGGGTACAAATATTGAACTTTTCCATTCAGTTGGCCAGGTAGCTGTTTTCCAAATCTCCTGGCATAGCTGAGTGAGTGCCTCCAGTGCGGCATCCATTTGTTGAAACATCTCAATGGGTTTTCTGTCAATTCCTGGAGCCTTGTTCTTCTCCAATTCTTTCAATGCAGCCTCAACTTCTTCCTTCAATACCATTGGTTCTTGATCATATGTCACCTCCTGAAATTGATGAACATTGACCAATTCTTTTTGATACAGTGACTCTGTATTCCTTTCATCTTCTTTTGATGTTTCCTGTATCAGTCAATATTTTGCTCATAGAATCTTTCCATATTGCAACTCAAGGCTTAAATTTTTTCTTCACTTCTTTCAGCTTGAGAAATGTCAAGTGTGTTCTTCCCTTTTGGTTTTCTAACCCAGATCTTTGCACATTTCATTATAATAATTGATTTTGTCTTCTTGAGCTGCTCTTTGAAATGTTCTGTTCAACTCTTTTATCTTGTCATTTCTTCCAATTGCTTTAGCTACTCTCCCCTCAAGAACAAGTTTCAGAGTGTCTTCTGATATTCATTTTGGTCTTTTCTTCCTTTCTTGTCTTTCTAGTGACCTCTTGCTTTTTTCTTGGATGATATTCTTGATGTCATCCCACAATTTCTCTGGTTTTCAGTCATTAGTGTTCAATACATCAAATCTATTTTTTAGATTGTCTCTAAATTCAGGAGGGATATTATCAAGGTCATATTTTGGCTCTCATGGACTTGTTTTAATTATCTTCAACTTCAACTTGAACGTACATATGAACAGTTGATGGTCTATTCCACAATCAACTCCTGGCCTTGTTTTGGCTGAAGATATTGAACTTCTCCATCACTTCTTGCCACAGATGGAGTCAATCTAATTCCTATGTATTCCATTTGGTGAAATCCACCTGTATAGCCATTGTATATGTTGTTGAAAACAGATATTTGCAATGAACAAGTCATTGGTCTTGCTAAATTCTATCATGTGATCTCTAGCATTATTTCTATCACCAAGGCCGTATTTTCCAACTACTGGTGACTTCTCTGTTTCCCACTTTTGCATTCCAGTCACCAGTGATAATCAATCAGTGATAATGATTGCACGTTTGGTCAATTTAAGACTTCAGAATTTGGTAGAAATCTTTAATTTCCTCATTTTTGGCTTTGGTGGTTGGTGCATAGATTTGGATAATAGTAGTGTTAACTGGTCTTCCTTGTAGGCGTAAAGATGTTATCCTATCACTTACAGCATTGTACTGCTGGACAGATCTTGAAACAGTCTTTGTGTGACAAAGAATGTCACACCATTCCTCTTTTATTTGTCATTCACAGCACAGCAAATCATGTGGTTGTCTGATTCAAAATAGCCAAAACCAGTCCATTTCAGATCACTAATACTTAGGATATCAATCTTTATGTGTTCCATTTCATTTTTGACAACTTCTGATTTTCCTAATTTCATACTTTATACATTCTATGTTCCAATTATTAATGGATGTTTGCAGCTGTTTCCACTCATTTTGAATTGTGTCATATCAGCCAATGGAGGTCCCAAAAGCTTTACTCCATCTATATAATTAAGGTCATCTGTACTCTGAGGAATCAGCTCTTCCGCAGTCATTTTTTGAGTGCCTTCCAACCTGATGGGCTCATCTTCTAACACTATATCAGACAACATTTCAGGGCAATTCATAGTTTTCAGTAATATATCATACAGTGTTTCACTGCTATTCATAAGGTTTTCACTGGCCAATTGTTTAAGTGGATGGCCTCTTTCTTCTTCCAAGTCTGTCTTAGTCTGGAAGTTCTGCTGAAACCTCTCCACCATGGGTAACCTTCTTGGCATTTTGCAACACCAGTTGCATAGCCTGGCCTTGACTAAAGCCACCCTAGAAGCCCTGAGCCATACACCCACCTACCTACCCAGGGCCCAGCCTTGAACCAGGAACTTTATATATGTCATCTCATTTAATTTTTACAATTAAAAAAAAATCTAATTAGGTAATTTTTAAAATTATTTCCGTTTTACAGATCAGAAAACTAAAGTTAAGAATTAAGTGACTGTCCAAAGACACTTAGCTAAATAAGGGCAGAGACAAGAATTCAACACTCTAACCTGTTTGTATGCCCACTGTAAAGAAATTAAGGCAATCTGATGGTGCAGTGGTTAAAGCACTCAGAAGGTAGCCAAACATCAGTGGTTGGGCCCACCAACCACTCTACAGAAAAGAGATGAGGCAGTTTGCTTATGTAAAGATTTATAGCCTGAGAAACACTATTGGGCAATTCTTTCTTCTCTGTTCTATAGGGTTGCTATGAGTCAGATTTGACTCTATAGTAGTGGGTTTGTAAAGAAATTGTAAGGGTATAATGATGGTTGAACAGAAAATTCTGATTTAGGTTATTGTGAATCTTTAGTTTCTGAGAATATTATTTAGTTTCAAATACTCTAACACTCTCACTTCTGTTAGCTCCCATTCTTGGCCTTCTATCTGTTAAGAGGAAATTCTTACCTTAGATTTTATTCTCTCTTAGAATGAGGGAGCTCTGGTAACCAGAAGGCTGGTGGTTCAACCCCATCAGCCACTCCTCAGAAGGAACATGGGGCAATCTACTTCCATAGTGATACAGAAGGGTTCACTATGAATCGTTTCCGACTCAATGGCACATAACAACAACAGAATGAGGGTTTCTAATTTGGTATCCTGGTTTCATGGATACCCTTTCGATGTTCTACAGAACCTAGAAATTCATTGCAAAACATTGTTCATGAATATATGTACTTTTTTTAGGGAATGAGCCCATGGTTTTCATCAAATTCTCAAAGTGGCTCTTTTCACCCAAGGAAATAGAACCCACTTCTCTAGGATTTCTTCCACTAACAGACGATGGTGAGAATCTCATCACAAGAAACGTGGCATTTCTCTTTGAGCTCACTGAGCATTTCTTGAAATATTTCCTGAATATTTTTCACTTTTGACCATAT